TCCCGTCGCGGAGGGCGCTCACGCCCACCCGCGACCACGTGGTCACCGTGTCCCCGTACGCGCTCACGCACGTCGCGGGCCCCTACAACCGCTGGGTGTGAGCCCGCCGCGCCCGACGCCCGCGCGGTGCGTTTTCAAGGTGCTGTCACAAGGAAGTCCCGTTGTCGTTTACTGTGTCTTCATCTCACCCATTTCAAATCTGAGCTAAAAAAAAAATCTTTAAATGGGGTGGGTACTTAACTGTGACTATATTTTGACAATTGGTAGAAGGTGCACATTTTAAGCAAAAATAAAAGTTTTATAGTTTTAAATACAGTAAGAAATGTTTTGGTTAGGTGTTAACCTTGATAGAATCACTCAGTTTGGTGCTTTAAATTAAGTCTGTTTACTATGAGACGAGTCATTTTTAGAGGAAATTAACAAATTCATGTTCTCTGAAGTGAAATCAAGACACACAGTGTTAACTCTACACAGCTCCTGGTGCTTAACCAAATCGACACAGTTAAAAATAAGCTGAATTATTATTTCATGGTGCCATTGTTCCAACATCTTCCGATCATTGCTAGAAAATTGGTATAGTCCTTGAAACCTTGAAATAAATCATTGAAATGCTTTCTCTTAAAATACTTGCTCCTGTAAAAAAGAATTCATTTTTGTTAGTAATGGTTGGAGGCTGTTCATAAAGTGTAAATATATATTTTAAAAGCACTTTCTATTTTTAAAAGTAACTTGAAATAGTATAGTATAAGAATCCTATTGTCTATTGTTTGTGCATATTTGCATACAAGAGAAATCATTTATTCTTGCTGTGTAGAGTTCCATCTTGTTAACTGCAGTGTGTAGTCGAATCGTGTATGTGGTTTATGTTCTTTTAGTATGTCCTTTCACATTACGTATTAGCTACTTATGTAAAATAGTTAATCTCTAAAATTGGAATTAGGACACATTATCACCAATACTGATTTTTTGTTTGTTTGGGTTTTGTTTTTTTGTTTGTTTGGGTTTGGGGTTTTTTGTTTGTTTTTTCTTAGAACTAAAAGAGTGTGGTCAACAATAGCCTCAAGTTTCTTTTTCCTAGCTTCATCAGTATAAGCCATGAAAGATGTTTCCAAAAGAAAAAGGGACAAAATGGAATTCAGAACAGTCAAATGCTTCTGATGTTTCAGGGTGATAAAACACAAAAGTTAAGTAGTAGTCAGAACTCTACCCATCCCAAATTGCCTTGATTGTTCTGAAATCCAATCTAATGAAGAATAAGAGAAAAAAAAATCCTGTGGAAATCTTTTGAAAACAAGTCCTCCATTATCATCGCATCTCCCCATCTTTTGGTCAAATAATAGAAATGGTATTATGAACATCTTGTCCATTTAGAACTAATCCATTCATTAATCAATAGGATTTGGAGAAATGCTAACTTGACCTTTTAAAATCGCCTACGTTGTAGGTAACAAGAAAAACAGTCCTCCCGTGTGTTTTACCATTCCCACTTTTTCTCATTATTTTCTTGACCTGTGTTTATAGCAACACACAAAGGATTGCCCAAACAAAACGTTTAGAACAAGAACCTTCAGTGAAATACTTGATGCTGTTAAAATGCAGAGGTGCTATAGCATTCACAGTGTTAGACTCTCTGGGAGTACAGAAGCCTGAATGGTGCTTCTCCCGTGGAAATGCCATAGGAAGCTTGGTTGCTAACACTCATCACTGTGGTGCAAATGCAAAGCTCTCTAAAGAAAAACTCATTGTAACTTATTAAAATAATATATATGGTGCAAAGTATCAGTTTAAAGCTTTTGACTTATCCAAGTAAAGGAATATGAAGGGATTGTAAATAATTGTATGTCCATTGATAAACCATCTTGTGCAAGTAGGTTTCTGCTTATTGAATATGTAAAATAGGACAATTCATTGACTTGTTTTAGTATTTTGTGTGCCTTAGAGTTCAGTTTTAAAACATGTATATTTTTTTGAGCCTAAGGTTTCTTATACATACGAGTATATAAGTGATTGTTTATTGCTTCAGCTGCTTCAGTAAGATATTTACTAGTATTAGATCAAGAAAACACCTTGTGTAATTAGATTTTAGGCCTTACCTCCCACTAGAATTGTTTCCTCACCAGATTTAATGGATAAAATCTTACGGCCCTTTATCCATCTATCCATTCCTCCAATGCACTCTTACTGAATGCCTGCAAAATTTAAGTATCACTTTTGTTTTTCTTTGAATCAGTACCTATGACATATTAAATACTTTTTTAATAGCCGGGCGTGGTGGCACATGCCTGTAATCCCAGCACTCGGGAGGCTGAGGCAGGAGGATCGTTGCAAATTCGAGACCAGCCTGGGCTACAAAGTGAGCTCAAGGCCAGCCTGAACTGCATAGCGAGACCCTGTGTCAAAAAGATAAAAACAAAGAACAAATACTTTTTTAATAACCTAAACTTTAAACACCAGGCTGATAAGCAGGATTATCTAAAATGTTTCCATTTCATTATTGTTCTCAATACTGTAAGTGGGCTGCCTCTACAAGTAACCCCACGGCGGGAACCACACTCTTCCTACTCGTTTGGACTCTTTATGAATTTTAACAACTTACCATCCCTTCTCTCCCCTGTGGCTTTTACAAAGCTTATGCTTATTCAGTGTTCTATAGCATTGTGATTGTTTGCTGGTGACACTGCATTTAGAATGCTCTTTCTCATGAAGCAAGAAAATAAATTGATTTGCAATTACATTTTCACTCATAAAATTGGTCATCCAACCTTATTTCTACACCTGTAATGTTTTACTATAGTGATCACCTTTTCTTTTACCTCTTTTATAACACTCAAAAATGGAGTTTTGAATCTACCTTTGTTCATAGTATGATCGTTGAATTCAATGATACACGACCTCCAAGTTAGCCCAGCTGATTCCCAATATATTACACAATCACCAGCTCTAACAATAGAGTAATCGGTGCTTAGTGTAGAATTACACAAAATATTACACTGCCCCTCAATTCCATTTTCAATGGCCACCAGGCTATCCCTGAGCGGTTTTTTTGTTTTGTTTTTTCTCTCTGTTGCTTGTTAGGCTCACATCTTCTTTCCAGGTCATACACAGAGTACCAAACAGACCATGTCATTAACCTAATTGGAAAGTGAGACTCTCTGATACCGGCAGGTAAATTTTTGCAACATGGATACATCTTAAGTAATTTTCCATAATCTTTATTACTCAATCTACATGTGGATAAAATGATTTCATTTGCTAAATATAGAACTTCACTAGCTGAGCTCCATAAGCAATTTATTCAGACATAACCCCAATACATCTTTAATTGAATGCATACCCTTGTGTAATGAGCTCCTGACTCAAGCCCTGTAAAGTAACCTACTTTCTGATCTTATTATTCCAGTGGACTCTTACTAACTGTCATTTCACAGTAGCATGCATGAAAATAACCCCAAACTAGTCTTTTAAAGCAAAAATTACATTGATGCTTTTTATCTGGGACAAATTTATGACGTTATTGCATGACAGTTTTCACCAGTAGTGGGCTCAGCAATTCCTCTGAAGGAGCCACCTCAGTGGGTAGGGTTGAATATACAGTTACCTTCAGTGCCACACCTTAGTGCATGGAGATCGTTTTCTTGTGTAGAATTAGTACAGCTGCAAGTTTTCATCTCTTGCACAATTGATGGCAAGGGAATTGTGTAATAAGGTAATGTGGTAGTGGCCTTGGCAAGCAAGTCACCTTCAAAGTCACAGTTCAGTCACAGATACTAAGAGACCAGATGTCAGTGTCAGCTTGTAATTGTGTTTATAATTAGAATCTAAACAGATGAGGGCTTCTTTATGGTTAAGAGAACTTTATAAAACAAACTTGATTTTCTTTCCCAGAGGGTATTTTGTCACTGGGAAATAGCCTTATTTTGGTACAAAAATAAAATGGCTTTTTTTTGTTTTATTCCCTAAGAGGTTCAGAAAAAAAAAATTAACAGTGAAATTGGGTCAAGATTCCCTTGCCTCATTTATTGGACTATGTATGGGAATTGGATGATTTTCACCTCTGATGCTGTCCTGTTAACTCACCTTGCAAAATGTGGAAATAGTCTTGTTTGCCCCTTTGTTGTTGTTGTTGTTGTTTCTTCCGGTACCAGGAATCGAACTCACGACCTTGCGCTTGCCAGGCAGGCGCTGTGTCACTGAGCTAAATCCCCAGCCCTTTGTTTGCCGTTTCAATGGACAAGTAGCAAATGCTGCTATACCAGACCCAGCCCTCCCGGAGTCTCGTATCAGGCATATAGGAGTTGTAAAAAGCTGGGTGATCGAGTTGGAAATGGTGGCACATGTCTACAATCCTAGCCACTCAGGAAGCCGAGGCAGGAGGATCACGAGTTTGTCTCTAGGCAACTTAGGGACACCCTGTCTCAAAGTAAAAATAGGAAGCTCTACCTCACTAGTAGAGCTCTTGCCTGGCATGCACATGGTCCTAGGTTTGATCCCCAGTACCACAAAAATGAAAAACGTTATCACCTATAGCACAGGAAGATAACTCAGAAAATCAGAGTCTTTATGTCCTTTATCAGAAACTTAATCTGTACTTCCTTAAAATGTATTAAGGTTCAGGGGCCTATTTTGTGTGTACTAAATAGAAACTGAGTTTATTAATTTCAGAGGTGATACAGCTGGGCTTTATGTGGGACATTACTATTTTTGTCCACTTTGAATTCCATAAACTTTAATTTTCTGCCTTTCAGTTTCTGGATGATAATGTGGTTTGGTTTTTCGGTCATTGTTTGGTTTGTTTATTTGGAAATAGGGGTCTTATTGTGTTGCCAGGTTGATTTTTTGTTTGTTTGTTTGTTTGTTTTGTTTTTTGAGACAGAGTCTTGCTATGCAGTTCAGGCTGCCCTTGAGCTCACTTGGTAGCCCAGGCTGGTCTCAAACTCATGATCCTCCTGCCTCAGCCTCCCACGTGCTAGGATTACAAGCATGTGCCATCATGCCTGGCAACCAGGCTGATCTTGAACTCCTGGGCTGAAACCATTCTCTTGCCTCAGCCTCCCACATAGTTGGTCCTATCTTTCTTTCTTTCTTTTTTTTTTTTTTTGGTGGTGCCAGGACTCAAACTCATGACCTCACATTTGCCAGGCAGGTGCTGTGCTGCTGAGCTATATCCGTGGCTACTTTGTTTTCTTTTGGGTTCAGATACCACTGTTCACTCAAAAGACCGATACTTTATTCCCTCAAATAACCCAGAGATGTTCCTTATTTTACTACTCTTTACTTTCACTGTTCCAGTTCACCTTTTTGTAATATATACAGTTTAACATTTACGGCTTTAATTCTAACATTGATCATTTCCTCACTTCCTAGATTGCCTTTCCATTCCTATTACAATATTTATGATTCTACTTTGACCATAAGCTTTCTTCTCCTTTGTTCAGCTATAGCTGTTTCTCACATTGAACCAAAGCCTCCTGCAAAGTGGGAATGTGATCAAATGTTTGCTGATTTCACCCATTTATGTCTGTGTGTGACCTTGGAGTCTCATGGTTTAACAGTTTGAAGCTAACTGTCCTAAAAATAGCAGTCTTGTCCCTAAAATCCGTTATGTAAGACATTCTCTAATCTTGTTCATAAGAAAAATATTTTACAGCTGTCAGAAAGATTTTCATTTTAGGGGAAACAATGTTGGAAAGTGATTCTTCATTTGGCAAAGTACTAACTTACAATCCTTGCTAGAACTACTTGCTGTTATTTTTCTTTTCTCATTCTACTGAAGCCACTAAGTCACTTTTATATTTCATTGTGTTTTTGTGCTGGGACTGAACCAAAAGCCTTGTGCATGCTAAGCAAGTGTTCTGCCACTGAGCTGTATCCTCAGCACATTTTCTTTCTCTTTAAATTTATCTGTTCCTCTAATTTTTTATTTTTATTTTTTGCTTTTTTGAGACAGAGTCTCACAACACAGTTCAGGCTGTCTTGAACTCACTCTGTGTCCCTAGGTGGCCTTGAAGTTGTGATGATCGACCTGCCTCAGCTTCCCAAGTGCCGGGGATTATAGGCACTGCCACCACACCCAGTGTACCCTAGTTTTCTTTAAAAATTTGTTGTCTTGTTTTTCCTGTCTCCATTCTCCAGACCTTCTACATGAATAAATAGATATGGTTTATTTTTATTCTATTTTGGTTCATTTTAAAATAGCAGTGATCTTGGTCATCTTTTAAAATTATGTCTCATAAGTCCTTTTAGGCATAGTGCTAAGAAAGGTGCAAGAGTTTCTTTTTGATACAGGGTCTCACTATGTAGTTCAGTCTGGCCTTGAACTCTTCAGTGATCGTCCTGCCTCAGCCTCCCAAGTGCTGGGATTATAGGCCTGTGCCACCGCGCCTGGCCAGGTGCATGAGCTTTTTATACAGCCTTTTTGGGTTGAAGCAAATTCAATTTGTAGGAACTGATAGTAGTTATAAGACCATGTATCAAGTATTAATGTCAAGTGGTCTCTTTGTGTACAAGTCTGAACAATATTTAATTCATTCATTTATCAGTGTTCAAGTGTTTTGCAAAAAAAAAATAAAGACAAAAGTGTATATGAAGTAAATATTCTAAAAGGCTTCTGTATTCTGTGGCTTTGGTATTTCTGTATAATGCATCTTACTAATTATAAATTTGCTGATGAGTAACTAAATTAGTAATTGGTCCTGTCTGTAGAGTAGATCACATTTCTTTGACTATTTTCCACATCTCCCAAACAAATTTTGTGGATGATATCTATTTTCATGTAAATTTACTTGGAAGTCTTTGGTTACCAGCAATAGTAGAAAGTCTTACATAATCTGGATGGGAAGAGTTTTTAAAAGTAGGGTGCTCAGTAGTCAGAAGTCCCTAAATCAATGCAAAATGAAGGTCAGGAGTGGAAAGTAGGGAGAAATGTGCTCCCATCCGCAACCGAACTGAAGGTTTATTCTCCCAACTCAAAAGCAACAAATACTGCTCACATTTCTTCTCTGCACTCCATACTAATTTAGATCTAAGAATAGCTGCCAAAAATGAGGAACTGTTTTCTTTCTTCTTTTTTTTTTTTTTTTTTTTTTTTTTTTTTTTTTTTTGGTCTTTTTGAGGCAGGGTTTCGCTATGCAGTTCAGGCTGGCCTTGAGCTCACTTTGTAGCCCAGGCTGCTGGTCTTGAACTCCCAGTGATCCTCCTGCCTCAGCATTACAGGCATGTGCCACCATACCCGGCTCATATGAGGAACTATTTTCAACACAA